CACGTTTTCGACCAGTAAGTGTGAAATTGTTACTTTGCATATTATATAAACTGATAAATCGTACATGTAGCATTACTACAGTATGTATGAATGTTTTTAAGACTTTCAAAATTTGCATTTCTTAATCACTCTTGTTCTCTGTCCTGTAGATGACAACGTTTGGTGCTAAAAAGTTTGAGAATGATCAGACGACAGTCCTACAGAAGATACTGCAGGACACTATTGACATTGAGGAGCTAATGGTAGAGAAGAGGAAGATGGCTGGCCAGGATGAAATGATAAATGAGGACGAGGCTGTCACTAAACCAAAAAAGTAGCAATAATACTACTGTATACCGGTTTATTTTTGTGGTAAAATATTTTGGCGAATTTTGCATTTTTGCTCTGTTGTGCAAATTGAAATCACAAAAATTTTGTGTCTCCTTTGCCACATGTTGCAGCTTGCAAGTTATTTGCAAAACTTTATTCTACAAATTTTAGAAATACAGGATTTATGGAAAAAATTAGCCATGATAATACACTGGTGTACATGTAAGTGCACATTTTTATGTTTAATTGATTTTTTATTTCATTTTTGTCCTTTTTCTTTCCTCACCAGTCAATAGCTGAGAGGTTGCAGACCTGCTGGACTTCACTTCAGACAAACGTGAACTCATACATGGACAGTGACATTAATAAAAGATTGAAAGATGTTCCCAGTGGAATAAAACAAGTGAGAGAGAGATGAGAAGATAAGATTATTAAACTACAATGAAAAAGAACAATGATAAAATGATTTATTATGAAACAGTTAACAGTATCATGCTTATATTTTATAATGTGTACTTTTCTTGTAGACATTGGAGAAGAAGGATGGATTATTTCGTCTGCACATGATGGGTAAGAGGGTTAACTATGCAGCTCGATCTGTCATATCACCAGATCCTAACATCAATATGGATGAGATTGGAATACCAATGGTATGTGACTCCTTTATATCTATTATATCTTTACTTTAGTACCTTTTGCTAATTGCTATAGTTCACGATTCTCCCACAAATGGGCTACCTACATTGTATTATGCATATGTTTTGTCAATCCCTTTATGCTCTACGATATACATGTATATTCATAGACATTTCCATAAGTTCTGATTTTGTGTACATACATGTATTTATTGTACGGGTACATGTACATTTGTACGAGGCTACTAATTACATGCATTGTAAGTGTACATTATTTCAACAGGTTTTTGCAACTCGTTTGACATATCCTGAGCCAGTCACATTCTGGAACTGGTCTGAGTTAAGCAAAGCTGTTATCAATGGACCACACGTTCATCCAGGGTAAGGGGGTGTGGCTTTGGGTGTGGCCTCATACCTTATTCTTTATAGTGCCACTCATGTACAGAATGAAGATGGTTCATTGATACTGTTGAGGAATGAGAGGCAGAGGAAAGCAATAGCAAAGACACTACTAGCTAAAGAAAAACTTAGCTCAGCCAAAGTACCAAAGAAAGTAAATAATTTTTAATTTTTATGCAAAAGTTAAACTTATCATCAAGAGTAGATGATAGTTAGAGAGAGTGTCGAACTACACTATGCTCGCTGGAATATGACTGAGTAGAACTAAGTCACATGAGACCTGAAGCGTGGGTGTACCTACTAAAAGCACGTGTAGAAGTTTGCATAAGGAACAGTGGAGAACACTTGAAGAAGCTTTAGACATCATACTAGTACACTTTATAATCCTGCTGAAGCCTGTTAT